CTTTTGTGAGGTAATATTTAAGCACCGGGGGGTGGGCATATATGGCCCTAAAGAAGGAGTGTCCTGGAAGAAGAGCAAGTTCAACAGCTGGGGTGGCTGGGGTGGGGTGAGCAAGAGGAAGAGCAGGAGAGGAGACATCCGAGAAGTGAGAGGGGACACAGTGCAGAGGACTGGAGGCCATGGCGATTGTGGGTGGAGAGCCACTGCAGAGTTTTGATTGAACTCTGAACACAATCTGGCTTACTTTTTAAAAACTGAACTAAAAGTCACATATTATAAAGTTCGCACCTTAAAATGCACGACTCATTGGTTTTTAGTAAAGTCACAAGGTTATATTGCCATTACTACTTCTAATTCTAGAACATTTTCATCACCCCAAAAAGAAATGCCATACTTAGTAGTCACTCCCCTGCCCCACTCATTGCCAGCCCCTGGCAACCACTCTTCTGCTTTCTGACTCTATGGATTTGCCTACTCTGGACATTTCATATAAATGGAATCATACCATATGTGGCCTTTTGCATGTGATTACTTTACCTGGATTTCTGGCTGCTGAGATGAGAACAGGCTGAAGGGAGGCAAGGACAGAAGCTGGGATGGCGGCAAAGGGATGAATACAAGAACTCAAGTGGGAGTTGAGAGGGGCTTGAAACAGGATGGGAGGTGAGATGGTAAGCAAAGGGAGGATCCTGGGCACATTCAGATGGGTTGGATGTGAAGTACGAGAGAAAGAAAAGCCAAGGACAATGCCCAGGGTTTTGGCCTGAGCACCTGGAAAGTTGGAGATGATGCCTATGAAGAGTCTAAGATTCCTGGAGGGGCAGGCTGGGAAGAAATACCAGGGGCTGGATTTTGAAACTGTGGACTAAATCTTGGATGTCTATTACCTTACCAAGTGAAGATGCTAAAAGGAGAGCTGAATATAAGTCTGGAATTCAAAAGAAAAGTCTGGATCAAAGATATACATTTGGGAGTTAAAGAGTGGAAGGTATTTAATACCATGAAACCTGATAAGATCAGCAAAGGAGCAAGTAGAGAAAGAGAAGAGATCTAAGGAAAGGGTCCTTGGACACATCAAGATTTATAGGTTAGAGAGATGAGGAGGAACCAACAAAAAAGACAGAAGGAAATGCCAGTAAGATGGGAGAACTACGAGAGGGTGGAGTCTTAAAACCAAGTGAAAAAGCTTATCATGGAGAAGGGCATTGTCAACTATGCCCAGTACTGCCAACAGGTCAAGCATGATAAGGACTGAGGATGAGCCTCAGGTTTAGGAACATGGCAGCCATTCACAGACCACGTGTCCTTTACCATCCTTCTTTCTCCCCTCACTCCAGCCACGCCTACCTGTGCATCTGCCACTCCTTTTTTGCAGGTGTGTTTTCCCCAGGTACAGCTTTGAAAAGAACAGTTTGAGTGGAGCAGGGTGGTTGAAAGTCTGACTGAGGTGGATTTAGGAGACAGTGATAAGAAAGGAATCAAAGCCAGGGCAATTGTCTTTGATAAGTTTAGCCGTAAGGGGATGGAGAGAAATAGCTGTAATGGGAGGTGGGGTAAAGACACGGCTTTCTGAAGATAAGAGAAATAAAAACATATTCTTATGCTGGTGGGACATATCCAGTAAAGAGGGAAATAGATGAGGAGCGAGGGAGTACAGATTTGCTAGGATTGGTTAGAGGGAACAAGATCAAATAAATTAGTTTGTCAAATAATCAGCAATTAAAATAGAAAACATCCACTGGTCCGTGGAAAAACAAACAAGGAAAGCTATTTTTCTCCCAGGGGACACAAGAACCACCATCATTTAAAATTACCTGGATCCACTTTTTAAGGGTGAAGGTATAAATTATATGCAAAGTGTCAACACTGGGGAGTCAACAAGACCCAAGCTCAAGAACCATTACCAGTTGCAACAGTCTAGACACTTCTTTGGACCTCAGTTTTCAGTCTGCAACGTAGTGATTAAAACAACCTGTCCTCTTTACCTTATAGAATTGATGTGATGATCAAATGAAATACATAAACCTTGTCTGTAAACACTTACGTGTGATGTCCATGTAAGGCATTTTTAAGTGCTACTATATCGAAAAGAGTTAGATATGCCTGTTCTTACTCCAACACTTTCTACATAGAAATAATTCAGCTCCAAGAAGGGGAAAAAAGGCAAGCTGAAGAGTTTTTAGAAGAATAATTAACTAAGGCATAGAAAAAGAGAAGCTTTCTGGTTATATATTGTATTGAAAACACACTCAATAAGTTGTACATGAACTCTGCCTTAATTTCCTAATTTCCTCCTTTTAAAAATTCAACAACAACAACAACAACAATAAAACCTTCTTAACTTTAGCTGAGCCTGGGGCAAAAAAAAGAAGTACATTAAACTTGACTGTAGGTCTGAAGCAAGGACCATGCAGACGACGTGACCGAACGCCTTTCCATGAAGCTCTCTTATTTTCTGTGTTCCCAGCCACCTGCCAGGATCAACTCCAATAAAAGAACAATCTGATCCTTGGCTTCTTGCCCCATAGGAGACATTAGTAGGTGTTTCAAAGAAGTTTCTGATTATCATTTTCACTTGATTAATTTTCTATTCTGGATGCTTAGCATATGGACCATAGCTCTCTGCAAGGAAAATATACTTTGCAGGGTCTCCTGATCTAGCCATTAACTGTTCTATTTCTTCTGGTAAAGTAAGACACAAAAGTGTGTACTTATGTTTTCTAATGAAGGAGAGTGTTCATCTTCATCAAGGAATTGGTAGGTTAACATAATGAATTCTTAGACAGAATTTAAAGTAGACACCAAAGTTGAATCAATCTTTTTTCTCAACTTCCCTCTCACACTTGATTAGAAAACTTAGGTGAGAACTTAGCTGGCCTTAAACCTCACAAGATTGTAAAGGAAAATGTGAAAGACAAGATATATAAGGGAATACACATTCACACCACATAAATGCATGTGAAGTCACTTTCCTTTAAAATATGTCTGTGTCCCCTCATGTATGGAGCCACTTGGCAAAGGAGTTAGAGCTTCATTGTGAAATCTATGTGAACACTTGATGTAAAATCAATAGGGAAAAAGCCTATTTTTTTCTAATTATAAAGGTATCTTTGTATCTGCATTTATGACGTATCAATTGTATATAAAGAACATACTGGATATTATGTATTTAGTCAGAATTCTAATCTCCCACTATAAACTCAATTCCTCTTATTTACATAAAATAATTCACTTTATAATGATTTACATTCCAAAGTTACTAGGAACAAATTATTCTGATAGGTGTGCGTATCTACCTTAAACTCCCTCTCAGTCACATACTCCAGTGTTATTGGGGAAGGACTTATTTTGAATAAGTTATTTTCTTTAATTAAAACATATCATTTAAGGGGCTGGGAGCAGTGGCTCACACCTGTAATCCCAGCACTCTGGGAGGCCAAGGCAGGTGGATCACTTGAGGTCAGGAGTTCAAAACCAGCCTGGCCAACATGGCGAAACTCTGTCTCTACTAAAAATACAAAAATTAGCCGGGAATGGTGGCACGCGCCTGTAGTCCCAAGCTACTCGGGAGGCTGAGGCATGAGAATTGCCTGGACCTGGAGGCGGAGGCTGCAGTGGGCCGAGATTACACCACTGCATTCCAGCCTGGGTGACAGAGTGAGACCCTGTTTCAAAAAAACAAAAACAAAAACAAACATAAACCATATCACTTAAGGGGAGCATGTCATTTCAAACATCAGTTTTGAGTTGAATATTTTTTAATAAGGCATTATCATAATACATGGTCCCCTAAATAATGTTATTAGAGTTAATAATATAATTAATATATTAACATAATTATTAATATGCTAACTAACCTTGATTAGTTAGGGTTATTATCATTATACATCATAAAATCTCTATAAAGTCAGAATTTGCTGAAGAGCATGCAGCTATTCACCCTCACTCTAGGTGGAACCAGGCTACACATTTTCTCAGATGGCTGTCTGCCTCTTAGAACTTTTCTGTGTCCTTTGCTTTGTCAGGAGGTCTATGGGTGGCTGCTTGCTCCTATCAGCAGTCTATGTTGAGCAGGCTCCCCTATCTCTGTACAGCTATCTTATGATTCTAAAGGAGGCAGAAAGACCCACAAAGTGAAATCGTTCTGCCACGTCCCAGCTGCATGGTTCTGGACACACCACAGAACCTCTTTAGGAATTCATTTCCTTATCTATACAGTGAAAGAACTGGCCTGAATGATCTTTAAGTTCCCATCCAAACCTGAGATTTTACAATGAATATTGCTGAGAACTGAAAAAACGAATTCTAAGTTTATTAGAACTGTGTCCAAAGAAAGAATATAGAAACTCTGAGTAAGGGTTTCAAAGGTTCCTATGCTTTAGTGAACAGAATTTATAGCATCTTATTTTTGTTACATCATGGACTTTTGGGTCTTCTGAGTTCTCTGTTATATTTCCAATAAATGAGGCTCCTCATTGGATAAATCATGTCCAGATACATGAGACAGGATCACATTAAGAGCTTTTGAAAAAAAGAAAATTAAATATGATCTTTTTTTTTTTTTTTTTGAGACGGAGTTTCACTTTTGTTGTGCAATGGTGCGATCTCGGCTCACTGCAACCTCCGCCTCCCAGGTTCAAGAGATTCTCCTGCCCCAGCTTCCCAAGTAGCTGAGACTACGGGCATGCACCACCCACGCCCAGCTAATTTTGTATTTTCAGTAGAGGCGGGGTTTCACCAAATAGGCCAGGCTGGTCTCTAACTCCTGACCTCAGGTGATCCACCCACCTTAGCCTCCCAAAGTGCTGGGATTATAGGCATGAGCCATGGCACCTGTCCAAACATGATTCTTAAATATACTTCTACATAAAAGATAAGAATTCAAGAAGAATTCTTCAAATATTCAGAGTGAATTATTCCTTAATGAACACTTTTGCTTCCAAACACATTTCCATTTTATATACCAACAAAATGACAGTGCATACTAAAAAACAATTTACCTATAACTACATCGTGACCATCCACCAAGCCAGCAGAGAAGAGCTCCTGAGATACACCATCTGCTGTATCTGTCCAAATGTGAAATGAGTATGTATTAGTAACTATAACATAAAAATCAACAACCCAGTACAATGTAAAATATATATATTTCATTTACGAAAATCATCCATGAGTTTTAATTCAACAATTCAGACTCTATTGAGAAAATCAGAAGCAACATGAAATACATTTTGCCACGTGCCGTTTGCATCTTGCTATTTATTCAACAGAAGTTACACAAAATTATTTTTTCCATTTTTGGTGAAATAAAACACTTGTGCCCTCTGGCTACTATCTGAATTAATCTTCAAATGTGCCTCCGGAAGTTATAACTGTTCCCTATCACACTGCTTCTCTTTCCTGCCAAGGTTAATCCCACCCACCATCATCAATCCTTTTCTATCATTAGTAGCTATGCAGTGAATTTACAGCAAAGGTTGAATGGGTAGCATCTGATATAACCTTGCATGTTGTACAAACAGCCTATGAGCTTGCTGGACTATTAAGACGAGCTATTTAAATGTATGCTATTAAGAAACTCCTTTAACATGACATTGATCATTTGATAGCAATGGATACACTGTCTTAGAAAAATGTGGCTGAATAAAATACCGTACTTTCTCAATGATAAGTGACAGGAGTTCGCAGTCTCCTAAGGATAGGACTAAAGAGGCCGTGGCCAGTGAATACAGCTGGAATTACTTAATTGAAAGGTTACGAATGAACATGATAACACTGTAACCTTCTATTTGAAGGCTTTGTAAAGAGAAACTGATAAATTGCAATGTGCTCAGGAGAACTGTTAGAAACCCCCACGTTTTCACAACGGAGCTCACTTGGTTCAAGGGAGCTGACTTGGTCCCCAGGGACTTCGGATATTCTCACAAATATTTAGAACTGTAGCTTGATAAGAAGAAACTGGCTCAGCAGGCTGTAACACTCTTGATGGGGGTTTGACAGAAATGTCTTCCAAAGTCAGGGGGCACCTGAAAGTACAGCTGCTAAATCAGATGAGCATCTAAACAGAATTGCAGTTTGTGACACCAAAAGCTGCCCTAAACATAAACTGCGTTTCATTACTTCATCTGTGCTTCAGATGTGGTGACTATGTAACTGGGCCGGTGTGTGTGTGTGTGTGTGTGTGTATCTGTGTTTGCATGTGTGCATACACATGTGAGTGTGCAGCTGGAGGTACATTTGTGTTTCACAATTCTTGGGGTTTAAAGAGCTTGCCCAGTGTCTGACACATAGTAAATACTCAATAAACAGTAACTATGATGATGATGCAGCAGCCAAAGATCATTTGAAACACACTTTACACTTTATACCTCCAGAGAAACTGTGGTATTCTGCCTTTTTACTGATTCCATTTCATAATGAAGTCATAATGAAATGGAATAAAATGAAGTAAATGGCAAAGAAATATACAGGAATCTTACTAAACTATAAAGTTCCATATAAGATGAGCTTGTCTTAGGCTTTGTCCTTTTTGCTAGCAGTACAAAAAAACACTTTGGCCCAGTGCAACGGCTCATATCTGTAATTCCAGCACTTTAGGAGGCCAAGGCGAGATGACTGCTTGAGCCCAGGAGTTACAGACCAGTCTGGGTAACATAGGGAGACCCCGTCTCTACAAAGCATAAAAAAATTAGCTGGGCATGGTGGCAGGTACCTGTGGTCCCAGCTACTTGGGAGGCTGAGTGGAAGGATCACTTGAGCCTGGGAGGTCAAGGCTGCAGTGAGCGCCAGCCAGGGTGACAGAGTGAAACCCTGTCTATTTTTAAAAAGGAAAAGAAAAAAAATAAACACCTTATAAAGTCTCTTCATGATGAAATGATCCCATAATCATGGAAGTTAGGGTAGCATAATGAGAGGCGCTACTCTGAACATGATGTAGCTTTCTGAAGCTGCCAGAACATTCAGCCTCATAACTGGCATCTTCCTGGATGTTACCCAAATCTGTACAGAAATAAGTGAACTGAATTAAAGAACCTAACACCTAGTAGGCATTGGGCAGATAGCAAGCAATCATTCATTATATTTCTACTGAATGGTCATCTGCTGAAGCATTTGGATGTGTTACCCATCATTTCTAAAGCATCAGTAAGATCTTACACTTAAGTAAAGAGCTATAATCACAGAAGGTAGCCAAAAATGAAATAATCAAAGCTGCATTGAGGGATAGCACTAAAACAGTACCAAAATGACTGACATTCCCAAATGATTAAAGCATACAGCATGTCCTACTGTTTTCAGGACTCCTGGGCACCAGATGAGTCATGCCAAAATGGCAAACAGGTACCGCTGGCTGATCCAAATGGGAAATATTCCATATCTGCATGTGTGCCATTAGGCATTTTGTATGCATGGAAGTAAGATACCAGTAATAGTTCAGAACAGAAATGTGAAATAACTTATTTCATGTTTCATTAGCAATGTATTTTTCTTTAAGCTGTTTAACATCCCTGGTGCCTAAACAGGATAAATATTCATGTATTAATTTCTGGTTTCCAGAGCACATGGGACACACTAAACACAAAGGGCTTGTCCTCAAGTGAGGAAAGAACATATTTTATGTGTTTACATTACACATTTTGTGCCATATACGCTTATTCACGTGTATATACAGCACAAGCATAATGCATGTGGACTGCACACAGATTTACTGCAAGCCAAGTCTGAAATACAGACAGCATCAATAGTCACAGAAGTGCAGTGATATATGCATAGCGCTTCCTTCAATAATGGGCCTGTGCTCTGCCGCCCAGTGAAGGCTGGCTGGCATTAGGCAGACAATGCTATGGGTTCTGTCTGTGCAACAGAAGCAGGGACTGTTAATCTAAATGTGGCAAAGGCAGCTGCCAAAGCCAGTGCCAATGGCCCAATATTGCTGATAGGGCCATGTTACCCGCAAAAGTCCTGAGCTCATATTCACTTCTTTGTTACCTCTTAAAATTAAAATTGATTTTCATTGCCATAGTCAATTTTAAACAATCAGATGTAAAGAAACAACCTTAAAATAAGAATCTGTTCTTTCTACTTGCTGTACTTGCAACATTTATTATATAATTACTAGATTTTATCACAGCATGGCCTGGTCAATATTTTTATATTATGACAAAATAGATAGCTTTTTGACAATACTACCTGGTGCTGTACAATTTCATAAACCAACTCTAAATTGTCAAAGATGGATATCTCCGGAAAGAAAGATCAATTAGCAAATCCACTAGGGCCTTATGTCCATTTATTCATTGAGACAGAGTCTCGCTCTGTCACCCGGGCTGGAATGCAGTGGCACAATCTTGGCTCACTGCACCCTCTGCCTCCCAGGTTCAAGTGAGTCTCTTGCCTCAGCCTCCCAAGCAGCTGAAACTAGAGCTGTGCACCATCACACCCAGCTGGTTTTTGTATTTTTAGTAGATAGGGGGTTTCACCATGTTAGCCAGGCTGGTCTCACACTCCTAGCCTCAACTGATGCCCTGCCTCAGCCTCCCGAAGTGCTGAGATTACAGGTGTGAGCCACCGTGCCTGGCCTGTACATTTATTTTAAAAAGATATTTCATATTTTAGTTTAATTCAAATATACCAGGAATCCTGAAATCTTTGCATTTATAGAAGACTAGTAATCAGGGACCAGTAAGCCTATGGCCAAGCATTGCCCAGGAATATTTTGTTTAGCTAGTGGCCTTTGTAAAATTAAAAAAAAAAAACAAACAAAAAGAAACTACTGAACATGAGTGAAATTAGATAGGAGATCCTCCAGTTTCCTGAAGTGCACACTACTCACTTTGGTTTCTGTGGACATCTGAGTTTGTGTCTTCCTGCAGGTAATAACCACAGGGTGTCAAAGAGTTTACTGATGGGCCACCTAACAAGCTAGAAAGTTCTTGTACTTTGGAGTTTTCAAAATTTTAGTAAATACTCCCCAATGGAGGCTTCACATAATCTGAACTCAGATCACAGAAGCAAAGTATGTTACCTTTTTGTATGATCCCACTGTTTGCTGCTCATCCCTCATTAGGATTGTGGTATGCTTCTCATTACATTCATCATCATTTGCTTTAGGGCCTGCATTACCATAGCAATACTTATTTTCACGGTTGAGCTAATATATCTAACTTATATTTGTATGTATACTGTGCCGCATGTGTCACTGAGATTCACGCGGTCAGTCATGATTTGGTTTGGAATCCTTAGAAGTATCAAAAGTCCTTCCTTCCATCTATCTCTCCTTCCTTCCTTCATTATTAAACAAAGCAGTTTTAAATAGCAAATTATAACCACATGCTTGTAATCAATTTCTGTAATGTTCTTTGAGACAATAAAATAATAACTTCAATTAAAACTTACCTCTTCCTGGAGTAAACTCAAATCGTATGTCATTAAGTTCCTTTCTGGAGTTTCTGAAATACATAACACATAATACATTAAAGTCCAGCGAAGCAGAGTTTAGTCGAACTTGCATGTATTCAGATTTTCACAAGATGCTACTAACATGTGGAAACATTTTACAGTTTGAGGTTACCTCCAAGTATTTTGTTAACTGGGAAAGATAGTTATGACAATAATAATGAAGAGATTTGTTTGATTGAATTTACCTTATACAAACATGCTTGTATCACAAAATTCCAAAAACAAAATGTTCATTTTATAAAATCTGCACTAAACAGGAAACCTTGAATATAATTTCTTTTTTTTTTTTTTTTTGAGACAGAGTTCCACTCTTGTTGCCCAGGCTGGAGTGCAATGGTGCAATCTCATTGCAACCTCTGTCTCCCAGGTTCAGCCTCCTGAGTAGCTGGAATTACAGGCATGTGCCACCACGCCCGGCTAATTTTTTGTATTTTTAGTAGAGATGGGATTTTTCCATGTTGGTCAGGCTGGTCTCAAACTCCTGACCTCAGGTGATCCCCCCAGCCTCGGCCTCCCAAAGTGCTGGGATCACAGGTATGAGCCAACACACCCGGCCAATATAATTTCATTAAAAATTTCAGAAGCCTTCAGTCTAAAATAAATGGTATCCACTGTATTTTTCATATTTTTTCTTGAAAAATAGTATTTTATTAAATCATTTTTAAAAGTGAAACAAACAGGGAAGATGGTCTCAGTGACAGAATTCAAGAAGCACTACACATTAAATCATGTAGCACACCACCAAGAAAAAGGTACACACTTAGTAGTTTAAAATTTTATCTAAATTTAAAAGTTTTATATATTCAGTGGGCAATTTTGCAACATTTTGCCCCAGGAATATATAAAACTTTAAGTAACTGTAAAGGCTTACATAAAACTGAAAAATATATATGTACATGCAATTTAAAAATTAAATGGCACAGGGAGATATGAAATACATAAATATCTGAGACACAAGTTTTCCATTCAAATTAATTTTAAGAAATGATAATAAGGGGCAGTGAGCTATAATTAGAATAGTTTCAAATTCTTGTAAGAACACTAAAATATTATAAGTATCAACAGATGCTGTAAGTAAGGTTAACAAAAACATCTTAAGAAATTGCAGTAGAAGCCGGGCACGGTGGCTCACGCCTGTAATCCCAGCACTTTGAGAGCCTGAGGCAGATGGATCACTTGAGGTTAGGAGTTCGAGACCAGCCTGGCCTACATGGTGAAACCCCATTTCTGGGAGTGGTGGCACATCCCTATAATCCCAACTACTCAGGAAGCTGCGGCAGGAGAACTGAAACCCGGGAGGTGGAAGTTGCAGTTAGCCGAGATCACACCACTGCACTATGCACGACAGAGCAACAGTTTGTCTCATTAAGAAAGGAGAGAGCGAGCGAGCGAGAGAGAGAGAGAAAGTTGCAGTAGGAAACATGAACTAGTATTAGCTCAGCCTCTGAAAGTGTCTAAGACAGAGTCAGAGACGGCCTGAATACCCATCCTGGAACATCGGGAAATTGAGCATCTGCACTCTGAAGCTCTGTGTAAAACCTCCCGGTCTCTGTGAACCATGCCCAAACCACAGTGAAGCTTGTCTCTGGGCCCTTTTTGGTCCACAGCCTGATTTTGGTTCTTTATGTCCTACCACATCCAACCACACTAAGAGTGAGGGAGCCCACAATGATGCACAGGGCATGGCACTTGCTGAAAGAATGCCCTTTTCCTCGGTGTCTAGAAAGTCAGCCCAAGTCTCCCACCTTTCCATAAACAAAACAGGGAGAAGTAAAGGGCCAAGAACTCAAGACATGTCCAAGCCCACACCCAGATATGAGAGCCTTGGACCTTGAACTTTGCATCTCCCCTCAGGTTTCCCCAACCTTGACTTTATCACTACTCCCCTCAGGGCTAAAATGGGACCAGGGACTGCAGCAGTTTCTATAACTGTGCTTCTTTTAGGACCTGTGGATATCTGAAAACTGTGAAAATTGTGGATCCTCACCCTAAAAGAAAGTAGATATAGCAGTCCCCCTTTATCTTTGGTTTCATGTTCCATGGTTTCGGTTACCCATGTCAGTATAGTAAAATATTTTGAGAGACAGACCACATTCACATATCCTTTATGACACTATATTGTTGTAATTGTTCTATTTTATTATTATTTCTTGCTGTTAATCTCTTACTGTGCCTAATTAAGCTTTATCATAAGTAAGTATGTATAGGGAAAAACATACTGCATAGATGGTTCAGTACTATCTTTGGCTTCAGTTATCCACAGCGGTTTTGAAACGTACCCTTGCAAAGATACGGAGGGACTACCACACATAACTTAATGCGCAAAATTTTAGATAACTACAGAGGATTCAGAAATCATCTTAGACCCCAGACTAAAGAACCCTGCCTTGGAGGTGGAGTGTACCACTCACAACAGTGCCTACAGTGGGAGGACGGTTTGCGTGCTGCATTGTTTAAACAGCTTAAACTTTCTTTTCATTTATTTATTTTTTTGAGATGGGGTTTTGCTCTGTCGCCTGTCACCCAGGCTGGAATGCAGTGGCAAGATCTTTGCTCACTGCAACCTCTGCCTCCCAGGTTCTAGCTAGCAATTTTCCTGCCTCAGCCTCCCAAGCAGCTGGGACTACAGGAGTGTGCCACCAAGCCCAGCTAATTTTTTGTATTTTCAGTAGAGATGGGGTTTCACCATGTTGGTCAGGCTGGTCTTGAACTCCTGACCTCAAGTGATCCGGCTGCCTTGGCCTCCCAAAGTGCTGGGATTACAGGCGTAAGCCACTGCGCCTGGCAAAGTTTCTTAATAAACCACCAATGTCACCACTGCACATTTACTTAGTGCTTTCATATATATCAGCAGTTCTCAAACTTTTTGGTCTTAGAACACTTTTATGTTCTTAAAAAGTACTGAGGACCCCTAAAGAGATTTTGTTTATATGGACTATATCTATCAAAGTTTACTGTATTAGAAATTAAAATTGATAATTAAAAAATATTAATTTATTTGAAAATGACAATAACCCCATTATATGTTAATGTAAACTTTGTATGAAAAATTACTTTCCTTTTCAAAATGAAAACAAGTCAGTGAAAAAGAGCCCACTGTTTCACATTTTTGTAAACCTCTATAATATCGGGCTTAGGATAGCTCGAATCTTACAATTGTTTCTGCAATCTGCTGCAATGTCGAATGTTATAGAGACAGGAATTGAAAAATTCCACGGAACATGTGTGAAAGAGTGAAAAAGGCAAGTAATTTCTTGCTATTATTATAAAAATCGTTTTGACCTCATGGGCTCCCTGAAAGGGTCTCAAGGACTCCCAGGGTCACTGGACTACATTTTAAGTAACACTAATATATAAATGTGTACACATACATATGTATGTACACTATAATTAAATGAGATATGATATATAATATATATCACACATAATCTCATTTAATTTCAATAATTAACCTTTGAGATATGCAAAGAGGTATTATTTGTTTTCCATTTTTTCCATGATTGTGTTCAGCAGCTTCTCCAAGTTTACAAATTTAATGAATGGCAGAGTGAAGGCCAATAATTCCATACTGAGGGTACCAAATACAAACAGAAATGCTCAATTCCTTTAAGATAAAGCAATATTATTCTCCAAGATTTTGCATGTTCCCATAAAACAATTACCAAGCATTCATTTCCTCAATAGTCTTGGTTTTGTGTGCTGTATATGAGCAATGATTCACTTCAAACTAAAGTAGTCCAATAAGAAAACAACCATGAGGAAAGCAAGTATTTATAATGTATTTAATAATAAAATGACAGGAAAAAAATGAGGAATTTGATTGGACATTAATTTGTGTCCTTGTTCATTTCCTCTCTTCTTTTCCATCGGTCTTATTTAAAGAAATTTATTCTAGTAAGGTCATGAGAGGTGTAAGAACTGTACCCAGAATATCATTATGCATATCCTGATGCTTCAAATATTAATAACACAAAAAGTAATATCCAACACTCATAATCTCTGTCTATATCAACTGTGGTTCAAGTTATGGAGGCTGCATAGTCAAGTCATTCCTTTATGACTCTGAACCTAAAATACTCGCCTTTGAAAAGATCACAGTGATTGATTATGAGTAGTAGACTTGTCCCATCAAGATGAAATATAGTTGGAAAAATGCCTAATTGGAGCGAACTACTGAAGGTCATCCTTTTATAAAGAATTAATCTTTTCAGACTCATACTTAACACCTTTAATTGAAAGTACATTTACTTTAATTGATATGGCACAGGACACTCTTGATTTCAGGGAAGCTGAAAATAGGTATGATTTAAGGCCAGAAACTAAGTCTGTGCAACTTTATAGAGGAAATGATAAAAACTTGAGAGTAACAGTTTCAACACTCAGGCTGCCTTTGATAATTTTTATTAAAAATCCTTTTAACCCTAAAATAAAAACTCTTAAATTTGGTAAGGTACAGCCCCTTATAGCTCATTGCACTGAAAATGCAAATGCATACAGAACTCAGACAGGATATTTACTTTTTTTTTTAAGTAGCTGATACAATCATATGGCTTAAAAATTAAAAGGTACAATAGGGCATTAAATATTCTGTGAAAATTGGCCCTCTCACTCCTGTCACCCAACTACCTGGTTGCCCTTCCAGGGGCAATCAGTGTTTTACGAATTTGGTGCATACTTCTTGATATTTTATGCATGTACTAGCAAATATACACACATCCTGAATACAAATGATAGCACAGTATATCCACTGTTTTATATCTTGCCTCTCTTTTAACATAATACCATCTTGGAATTTCTCCATGTTAGTTTGTAGAGAGTTTTCTCATTCTTTTCTTTATAACTACATAGTCTTCTCTGGGATGCTACAGCCTTTTTTCACCAGTTCCCATCCTATGAACAGATTGTTTCCAATCTTTCACTATTATAAAGAGTGCTTCAATAAATAACCTTATTCTTATGTCATTCTGCATAAATCGGAGTATAAAAATAA